TATGGAGTCAGTTCTCTTCTTTCATCTTTATGCCAGAATCAATCAGGTTTACTTGGCAAATACTCAGATCTGATGAGCTATTCACAAGCCCTCTACCTTGTCAAAGCTTTTTTAAAGATTCATTTTATTACTTTATGGGTATGAGTGTTTTGCCCTCATGCATGTATGTACACCAGCTACATATCTGGTGCCTGCAGAGGTCAGAAGAGTGTATCAGATCTCTTGGAACTGGAGTTACAGGTGGTCAGGAGCCACCATGTAGGCTCTGGGAACCAAACCCTAGTCTTGACCCTTAAGTGTTCTTGACCCTTAAGCCATGTCCAGCCCCTCTACCTTATTTTTAAGAACTAGGCTGATGAGATGGCTCAGCCAGTGGCCATTTGCCCTGTGCGAGCCTAGTAACCTGAGTTCTCTCCCTGGAACCCCAATAAAGGTGGGGTAGAGAACTGATTCTACAAAATTGTTCTCTTACATCCACACACATACATCATACACATAATAGGAATATTTTTAGTTAGGCTGCAGAGTACTTAGAGCAGGCCAGGGGTTAGGTGCCCTTGCTTGTTTATTTAATGAGACCTCTTATTAATGGACAGTCTACAGTGAACAATTTATGTATTTGTTTGAGCAGCTCAATAGGGCAATTGTTAGCAGCAGAGTTGCTGGAAGACATTAAAGATCTGGGGTTTGGAGCAAAAGCTAAGTGGATCAGGGTGCTTGCTAGGCAAGTATGAGGACTTGAGTTTGGATCCCCAGCCTCCATGTCAAAACCTAAGCATGGCCACACTAGCTTATAATCCCAGTATGGGGGCAGATAGGGAATGAGAGATCCCACATCAAGGCAATAAGGTGGAGAGTCATAGATGAGGACACCCAACGTTTTCCTCTGGCCTCTGCAAAGACATGCACCTGTATACACGAGTACACACACATAAATCTGGTAAGAATTGCATCAAAAGTTGGGTGTGGTGGCAGAGGCCCATAGTCCCAGTACTCAGAAATCTGACAGGACAACCTGGGGTATATAGCCTCCAAAAAAAGTGACATTTATACCTCATCTAGGAAGAAATGGGTGTGTTTTTGTATGCTCTTTAGTTTTGCTTTGAGACAAGGTCTTTGTAGCTCAAGCTGACCCTCAAGTCAGGAAGCCCTGACTTATCCTCCTGGTTGCTGGGATTATAGACATGGATCACCACACTGCCTTTTATGCTCTGAACAATCTTGTACTTTACACCCATTATCTAAATTTTCTAAAATTTGTGTTCTATTTGGGTGTCTTGTCTGCACATCTGTACACCAGAAGAGAGCATCAGATCCCATGGGATTACAGATATAGACAGTTGTGAGCTGCCATGTGGGTGCTGGGAATTGAACTCAGGCCCTCTGAAGGAACAGCCAGTGCTCCTGATGAGCCATCTCTCCAGCCTCTAATTATCTAAATTTCTACTAAGAAAATGACAAAGAGAATGTATGTTCTGTTTTGATGTGTGGGTCTGTAGTCGAGAGGGTAGTCTCAGTGCCCCTCTCCCCCTTATCTGTTCCTGGCATTGACCATTTTGCTTCAGAACACTCATGCCCTAGAAGATGCTGTCAGACCATGTCAGACAGTTTACCAATGAATCTGTCACTTGCCCTGTTTTTATTGCCTGGTGCCTCAGTACTTAAATGTTTTTTTCTTACACCTTGGATTTTTCTGGCATTTAAGCATGCTAGGCAAGCATTCCATTGCTATGCTGTATTTCCAGCTCTTGTAAATTATTGTAAAAGAAAAAGAGATAGGCTCACACAGAATGGGCAACTGTTTTAGGTAAGCAGAAGAGTCCTGTGTCATGTAGCTGGGTTAACACTGAAAGAATTTCTAGGTTGTTCCTTTCCTGCCTTTTCTCTAGATGATGAAGGTTCTGCAAGTAAAAAGCCCAAGGTAGAGTTATCAGAAGAAGAGCTGAAGGCCCATTTTGCCAAGGGCACACTGGGCAAGCTAACTGTGCCTACACTAAAGGAGGTCTGTAAGGCCTATGGGCTTAAGAGTGGACCGAAGAAGCAGGAACTGCTAGATGCTCTCACCAGACACTTCCATAAGAACTGACTGAAGGTCACACCCCAGCTACTTCCCACACTGCAGCCAGACCACCTACTTATGTTCTCACCAAGTTAGCAGGTGTTTCTTAGCTACAAAGAGTTGCCTGACAGAAATGCAAAGGACTTGCTTCATGGAGACTGTAGCCCTCCCACTTTGTTGTGCCTTATATGAATAAACAGCTCTAATGTTATAATGTGCACTGTTCAGTATGAATGGGTAAGTAGCTGCCTCCAATGCAATTGGCTCTTAGCTTGATTTTCTCCCCTATGGAAGTGTATATCAAAGTGCAAACAAACATCTTAGAGGAGATTGGGGAAGAGTGTATGGATAAATGGTCATACAGGTACTTCTGAGTGACAAGCTTTATCAAGATTGTATTTCCATATGCCCTCCCAACCTGTTTGCTTTAAATGTATGATTCGGGGCTGGAGAGATAGCTCAGCAGTTAAGGGTATTTATTGCTCTTGCAGAAGACCCAGGTTTGTTTCCCAGCACCCACATAAGTGGTTCACAACCATCTCTACTTCTAGTGGATCCAATACCCTCTTCTGACCTCCATGGGCACTGAGCATGCACATGGTGAACGTCACACATGCAAGCAAAACACAAATTAGATTAGGTCAGATTCCTTTTGGATTCTGGTTAGCAAAAGAACTTACAAAGAGCACTCCCTGAAACCTCAATCCACAAATATCCCGTTTCTTGGGATGATGACTGATTGACCTAGGGAGGTAAACAGGCCCTTAGCAGATGGGTCTCAGGTGCCTTTGTTTTCAAGTGTGCTGGGAATACTGGCCCAGCAAGGCCAAGAGAAAAATGAACATAATTTGTCCTCATTCATCTGACTTCTATGGTAGTTATTTGCAGTGGGAAGATTTCTTAAGCTAAAAGTATTGTTTGCGACACAGGGGTAAAGCACAAGTGGCAGGAGAGGTGCTCGTGACTCAGTTTCCACATGAGCCTGACTGATTGCCAATAGTGGTTTTCAGCTGCGGGCGATTTTGTTCCCAGGGCACATTTGATTAATGTAGACTCATTTCTGAAGGGAGTGAAGGTGGAATGCTACTGCCATCTAGTGTGCAGAGGCCTGCAAGGCTGCCCTACAAATGGGTCCTTGCACATCAACCAACTTGTTAGTTGTATTAGGAGATCCTATTCTAGACTGGTAACACCTTCAGTGTGAGTCTGTACAAGAGAATTTCGAATTACCAGGCCAGAAACTTGTGTGGTGGGTAATAGCTTTACATAGCCTATTTAAAAAAAAAAAAAAAAAAAGCTGGGCTTTGGTGGTGCACGCCTTTAATCCCAGCACTCAGGAGGCAGACAGGTGGATCTCTCTGAGTTCGAGGCCAGGCGAGCTGGTTCCAGGACACGCTCCAAAACAATACAGAGAAACCCTGTCTTGAAGAAGAAAGAAAAAAAAAAAATATATATATATATATATATCCATCCTTTATGTGCTTTGCCTGCATGTATGTTGTGAACTGCCATGTGGGTGCTGGGAATTGAACCCAGGTCCTCTGGAAGAGCAGTCAGTGCTCTTAACTGATGAGCTATCTCTCTAGCCAGTCTTTTTCTTCTTCTTTTTTTTCCCCCTCCTTGAGACAGGGTTTCTGTGTAGACCAGGCCTGTCAGTGCCTCCAGAGTGTTGGGATTAAAGATGTATGCCACCACCACCTGGTTCTACATGGCCTTAGAGTGAAGAATTAAGGCTGGAGGTGTAGTTCAGTGGTAGGTGTGTGCTTGCTACTTAGCATGTAGCACCTAGTGAAACAACAGCTGGACTGGGGGCAGTAATAGAGTACTTCAGAAGCCCTGGGCTTGATCCAACACCAGCACACATCAAAACAAAATACAATAAACCAGGGGTGGTAGTGCATACCTGTCTGTAATTACAGCATGGGAGGTGGAGGCTGGGGATCTCTAGAGAATTCAGGCCAGTCTGGTCTACATACCCAGAACATTTCTCAATGGTCCCCCACCCAATGTTACAACTGCTCTAGAAATGCTAAGCATATTCCAAATATTAGCTGATAAAACTAAAAATCAGGCACTGCTGTCACATTTCATTTAAAATGAAATATGAACATATTTCTTTATTAGTATGTTCAAGAATGAACATTATTTTCACTCTTCATGTGATAGAGAATACATTTGACCCATGTTGTGGGAGGAGAAGGACCAAGGGCTCCCAAAGTGAGTGTCAAACAGTTTCACAAGCAATCCCCATTCAACCAAGGACAGAATGTTCCTGATAGCATTGTCTCTGCTATAAGCTCCAGCCCCAAAATCCTTTATTCCAGCATGAATTGACCATTTTGTCTTTGCTACTCTTAAAGATCCAAGCAGTCAAACTCACCCAGGCTGCCTGAGTCTGCATACCATCCCCCTTTGGAGTGTTACTGCCTTGATACCCTCAGTAGGGAACGGGGTGAGAATAAAAGGTTACACACATCAAAAACACACAAACATTAATAAACGGCACTTAGACATAGGCTTAACAGTATCAAACTTCCTCTTCAAATGGTGGTGGGCAGGACCACCATCATGGTAACATTTATGGAGATTTTGTATGAAAAGTCATAAGGGACCAGTGTTACCATCATCTTACCCTGCACAGAGGAATGAGTTTGCAGCTGAAAGTAGACACTATCCCTGGCTTAAGTGTTTCCTGTTGTAAAACAGTGACATTCTGCCTCTCACCTGTCTTAGGTATCCTTTCTTTCTTTCCTTTTTTTTTTTAAAAAAGGAAGATTTAAAAAATGGTAGAAGAGAGGATGAGCTGCCTCTCACCTGTCTTAGGTATCCTTTCTTTCTTTCCTTTTTTTTTTTTTAAAAGGAAGATTTAAAAAATGGTAGAAGAGAGGATGAGGAGATGGGGATAAAACAACCCTGTAAGACAATAAAAATACAAAAAACAGATGTAGTACAATATTTATAATAGAAAGTGGCTGAAAACCTTACATGCTAACAGACAATATGATACACAAGTAGGGTGGGAACAGACAGGAAAGGGCAGAGGCCACAGGCCTACACCAAGAGCCTCTCAATGGACTGCTGAATGGACTGGATCTGCTGCTTTAACTGAGAGCCTTCTTTGATGGTAACAGAACAGGCGATGACAGGTCTGGATACCCCACAGGCCCGTCCTAGGGCCTGCTTGGAGCGCACAAATACATAGGGGACATTCTTGTCTTCACACAGCAGTGGGAGGGGCAGGATGATCTCCAAGGGCTCAGCGTCTGCTGCCATCACAATGAACTCAGAGATGCCCCTGTTGAGGGTTTTGGTTGCTGTTGAGACAGGATATGAAGCCAACAGATGACATGGGGCTGGGGCAGAAAAGCCACAGCAAAGCAAGGAAAAATAACAAATAAGGAAGTGGGCAAAATGCTTAGGAACAAGCCAAGTGGGGTGGCACACGCCTTTAATCTCAGCAGTTGGGAGGCAGATCTCCAAGTTTGAGGCCAGCCTGGTCAACATAGTGAGGAGACCCTGTCTCAAAAAGGAGGGGTGGGGGAAAAGCAATTTTCTGCCTGGAGCAGCCCTGAAATGTAATAAGGTATCCAAACCCTCACCAGTTACTTAATCCCCAATGTCCTCACCCACTCAGCATAAGGATCTACCAGCACCAAGTAATGCTTCTACAGTTTTAACCTGTCACCAAGGCCTCAGTTCTCTGCTCAAACTTCACTTTCTGAGGTGACTCAATACAAAAAGATCCTTACACAGCTACACACCCCATTCTCTCCACAGCCTGTCTTTCATGTGTAGCCCATACCTTCCTTCACCACGTAATCTCTAATAATGGAGGACACAACAGAACATGTTTGCTTTGCTTTCTGCCAAACAACATAGGTAAAAGATACTAATTTTTTCAGGGTTTCCCTAAAATCTCAAACATGGCATTACAATTAATAGCTTTAAAAGCAAAAAAGTTCTACTAAAACTACTTGGCTTTTCTCTAGGCAGAAATGCCATGAAAAATTAACTCACTCAACAACTCAATACAACTGTTTTCCAAATGGCTCCACAAACATAAAAAAAAAAATACATTTATATATTCAGAGAGAAAAGGCAAATACACCAAACTATTAAGCACCAATGACTCTACATCCTAACCACACAAACTTTAGAATCTAATTTCAAATGTGTCGTCTTTCATCGGTCAGTAAAGAAGTTTTTTTTTTTTTTTTTTTTTTTTTAAAGATTTTATTTATTTATTATGTATACAACATTCTGCTTCTGTTTATATCTGCAAACCAGAAGAGGGCACCAGATCTCATAACAGATGGTTGTGAGCCACCATTACTGGGAATTGAACTCAGGACCTCTGGCAGAGCAGCCAGTGCTCTTATCCTGTGAGCCATCTCTCCAGCCCCCAGTAAAGAACTTCTAGGGGGCAGTTAGCCCAACTATTTTAGGAGGTTGAGGTAAGAGGACTGCTCCGGTTGGGGAGTTTGTCCCCACAAACTAAAGTCCAGGAGACCCCAGTTGAAAACAGGGACATTTAGTACGATAGCATCACCCTGTGATTGGTTGTCTTACCTTCATTGGCTCCTTTCCGAAGCTGCTTATAGTTACAGGACTGCTGAACAAGGTCCAGCAGCTTCTTGGTGAGGTGAGCATCTGCCAGGGGATAGGCCTTCGGATTTACATCAGCCTCTGTCTATAATGAAACAGAATCAAGATGGACCAGGTGTTTCAGATAAATCACAAAATATTTAACAACAACCAAGACAATGACCAGCTCCGATATACGCAGTCATACCTCCCTACCCCTCTATTTTAGGGACAGACATCCAATTTCAAAAACAGCCTGGAGCAATGAAACAAAGAAACCAACTAAGTACAGACAGAACACATTAATGCAGGCCTGACCACTCTAATATTCAAGGCCAAGAGCAAACACACCCCAACCCCCCCCCCCAGGTGGATCTTCGTGAATTTGAGGCCAGTCTGGTCTACAGAGCAAGTTCCAGGACAGGCTCCAAAGCTACAGAGCCTCCACTTGAATTTGATTCCCAGAGTCTACATGGTGGAGAGAATAGACTTCTCCAACTTGCCTTCTGACCCTACATGCAAACCCATACCCAACACAATGTGCAGTGTTGGCAGTATACTGCCTTTAATTCCAGCACTCAGGAGGCAGAGGCAGGTAGATCTCTCTAAGTTTGGGGCCAGGCTGTTTTATAGACTGAGTTCCAGGCCAGCTAGGACTACACAAGACTTTCAAAACAAGTAAGCAAGCAAGCAAGCAGACAAAAAGTATGTGTGTGGTTGTTTAGACTCGGGAGGGATTAACTTGTAAGGAAAAGGACACATACATACCTCAACAGGTTTCCTTATCTACTATTATTAGCTACCAAGTTTGATGATGGCCAGGGACATAGTCAACCTGCCTCAAAAGACTAAAAAAGAAAAACTACTGAATGCTACTTGAAACAAATGCACTTTAGGGCATGCAGAACTGCAGCATTTAGACTCTATACTCTTAAATAGTGGGTTCATATCTTCATCCTGTGTTGTGGTGTCCAGTTTCTTTCCTCTCTTTGGATTTATTATTGTTTTTCACTATTTTTCCATCCGCAGGTTTAGATTTATTTATTTATCTACCCCCCTCTCCCAACTTGCTGGGTTGCATAACCTGTCCCTGAATTCCTGGGCTCAATCAAACCATACTTTCAAGTAATTGAAACGCCAAGTGCATGCCGAGCTTTACCTCCACGTTCTCAAACGTTAGAAAACAATTCAAAAGTTAGACCACTTAATTTCATGTTTTTGTGATGCAACTGAATTCAAGATCTTGAGCATGCTAGCCAAGCAGTGACCTGTTGTTATCAACCCACACCTTTTTCGAGACAAGGCTTGCTACACAGCCCGGACTAGCCAACTTGAATCCCTAGCTTGATCAAATTGGTCTCCTCATACCGGACAGTCAAACATGCTTGATTTTGACTTAGCAAATATAGCCACACATAACGTAACAACGTCCGACTAGCTTTGGTGTAGTGGCACATATCTGTAATCCCGGCACTCTGGAGGCTGAGGCAGGAGGATCTCCAATCCATAACCAAATAGCACCGGTCCTTAAGGTGTGATTGCACTGCAAGTATCATAACTAAGTAATTATCCCCATGTCACAGCCAATGCAAACTGCTGCGAAGTTCAACCTGAGAGCACCGGTTGAACATCGGATTTCAAAACGTTCCACTAGATCAGCACTGGTTTAGAGGCTTCCTCAAACCAGAGGCGCAGCCAGTTATTAAACCTTGGAGGTGGGGGCAAGGAAGTCATCAAAGCAGAGAGCCAAAGTGCTTGAATAACTCACTACACACAAAGGGCTCGGCCAAACTTTTTCCTCCTTACCAAGTTCCAATCCCAACTAGTTACAACAGGGAACGCGATTCGGAACCCTCTCTCTGCCATATTAAAGTGTAGACGAGCAAGCGTTATCGTCACACGTGTTGCTACCAGAACCTCAATTTCTGAGGCGTCGGTCTCAGGGTAGGGGTCTTTCCTGAGCCTCCAGCCAACACTCCACATTCCCCTGACTCCCAAATTTAAAAAAAAAAAAAATCATTAATCGTGAGGACACACGCCTTTACTCCGGAGGCAGAGTCAGGGAGATCTGAGAGTTCGAGTCCAGCCTGGTTTACGTAGCGAGTTTCAAACCAACCAGGGCTACATACTGAGTGCCTCAAAAAAGTCCATGAATTCCCTAAGCCGCGTTAGTTCCGGACGGGCAGCAGATGCAGACCCCACGGAGCCACTCTCCCGGGCGTGGGGAAGGGGTGGGTAGTATCTGACCACTCCGTGATTTCACGCCATCTTCTAGAGATTGTTTGAAAAGAAAAAAGAATAAAGGGAAGAGACCGGAGACAGAGTTTTTGGTAAAGCCCCTCCGTTCCACGTGGGGCGGTCATCTTCCCACGCTGCGCATGCCT